TGGGAGCAGAGCCCGACACCCCCCGGCTCCCCCCTCCTGTCGGGGAACCCCAGAGCCAGAAGGTCCCCCCTGAGCCTCCTTTTCTCCAGGATGAGCCCCCCCAGCTCCCTCAGGAGTCCTCCAGACCCTTCTCCAGCTGCTCCAGCCCCTCAAAGCGAATTGAGGGGCCCAGACCCGGACACAGCACTCGAGGTGTGACCCAGGACAGAGGGACAACCTCTGTCCCGCTCCTGTGTTTCCCCTTGTCCTGTCCCTTGTTCCCTGGGAGCAGGGCCCGGCCCCACCTTGCTACAACCTCCTGTCCTTGTCCCCCCCAGCAAAGCCGTGGCCCTGCCCCACCCCGCCCACCTTGGGGGTCATGTCGTGGGTGATGCAGAACTCCAGGTGCTGCAGGATGCTCTCCATGGTGTGGTAGGGCTGCTGCTTGGTGGTCCTCAGGTACTTCTGCATGGCCCGGGCCATGGAGGCGAAGATGGCCTGGGCGGCCTCGCGGGGGTCCATGATCTCCCGGGGGTTCTTCTGGTCCTCCTCCTGCAGCCTCTTGATGTGGGTGAAGGCTTCTTCCACCGCCACCACCAGCCTGTGGGGACGGGAGACACGGGCGTGGGTACGGTGGGATGAGAGAATCCCGGGTCTGGGGGGAGCCCCTTGCTGCCCAGCTACGGGCAGAGCCCGAATTCCACCCCAAAACAGCTCTGTGGGGGATCCCTCCACGCCACGGGACAGCCGGGGATGGACTGGAAGTGCTGACCCACGGAGAGAGGAGCCCACAGAGGAGCAGGGCTGCTGGTAGAACTTATGAGGGGACCCATGTTGGAGCAGTTCCTGGAGGACTGACCCTGAGGAATATGGAACTGGAGCAGTTCCTGAAGGACTGACCCCATGGAACACAGACCTGGGGCAGTTCCTGAAGGACTGACCCTGTGGAATATGGACCTGGAGCAGTTCCTGAAGGACTGACCCCATGGAACACAGACCTGGGGCAGTTCCTGAAGGACTGACCCTGTGGAATATGGAACTGGAGCAGTTCCTGAAGGACTGACCCCATGGAACA